GGTGAGCCGGTCCTGGATTGGATTGGAATTTTCTTTTCTGTAGTGTGGGAGGAAGGAAGGATGGATGGATGGGTACAGAACACAGGATAGAGCTTCGTGTTGTTCGCCGAGAAGAAAAAGGAAAGAAAAGAAAAGGATAGGTTCGCGTTGTTCGCGGGCAGAAACACCGTGCGCGGGCACACGACACGAGCGGGGGAGGACGGAAGGTGTTTTTTTTTTTTGAACTTATAAGGTGTTTGATGTTTGGATCTATGCTCCCGCCCCTCGTTTTGGGCTGCCGTATATCCACACACCTCAAATGCAGGCTCTCGAATCCATGCAATCCATGTACGTAGATCATACGATACAATTCACATGTTCGAAACAAATACGACAAAGCAAAACAAATCATAGTTCAACAATCCGGACATGTCAAAATGAGGTCAAAGTCCGAGCGTGACGGTTCACTCGCTGGCTGGCCGGATCACTCGTCGGACACCATCCATGCGGCCTGCTCCGCCGCCATCATTGCCTCCTGCTCCGGCTGCATCCTTGCCTCCTGTTCCACTGTTGCCATAGCCGCCCTCACCGCCTCGTACTCCCTACACTCGTTGATCTCCTTCTTCATCCCCACAAGCCACTTCTTTGCATACTCATCAAAGAGGCTTTCGTCTGCCAACATTATCTTGGCATCTACCGCCTTGTGCGATTTTCAACCTCTCATTCTCAAACTCAATCTCGCCAAATATCTTGGCCTTTTCGAGCTCCCATTTCATCGCCGTCTTTTTCTTCTCTAACTCAATCTTCTCCATCTCAATTTGCAGCTTCTTGTTTGCCCTGTCCCGGTGCCAATCCATCCTCTCTTTTTACGCATCCAATATGAGTTTGTACCTCTCCTCTTTCTTGTTCGGCTTAACAGAAGAAAAAAATGCTCGTCCATGTGGAGGACATTTTTGTAGTCATGGCGTCACGAGAGGCCCTCGCCTTCTCCCACTTGTTTCCCATCACTTACCGGTTATCCTTTGGCACAGTGGTTCTTCCATTCTCCACTACAACATCTTCCTCTTCTCCGTCCAATCTAATTGATTGGTGGGAGCTTGAGCCATCGTTCCTCTTCTTGCTAGCCTTGAGATCGGCCACAAGATGTGTCCACTTTGGTTTGCCATTCAATATCAACTCAACAATGGCTAAAACCAAATGGATGCTTGTCCGTTTCTTGATGCATAGTGGCCACCGCCACCGTCTAGCAAACAAAATATGTATGACAATGAGAATGCAAAAATAAGTATATGCAAATGATGACAAGATGACGTAATTTAGCTTACGTGAGTTGCCACTCCCATCCCACCTTGAGGGCAGCCAATCACCTGTCAATAGTAGTCGACGTACTTGTTTACTTCCCCTTGAATGATCCCTCGTCGATGTTAGATAGATGCCTCATTGCGGTTGGTGATGATAAGATGCACTCCACATATTGATTTTGTTAATGATATTCCTTCCAAATCTTCTTCCAATACTTGTTTCACTTTTGCTCCATGCCATATATGGGAGCCATTGTTGTGGCCAACCAAGATTTAACCAATAAGATATCCTCAAAAGTTTGAGAATGCCGGACCTTTTGCCTTTGTCGTCTTTGGCTTATTATTCTTGCTGCTCAGATTGGGATTTGATGTTGTCCCAACTTCAAATGAATGGCAAGTTGGATCCCCCAACTCGTAGTCCATTTGGTCGGCTCATGAGTATCATTGATCATGTCCAACATGGTAAACTCCTAAAATTATGATGGTTTACAAGCATTGATCATGTCCCAAATGAACTAACAGTCTTTGCAAAACATTAAACATGGCATATGCAAAGTTGATTAGGGAGGAGCAACAAAAACTTACCGAGTCTTGTTGTGTCGTTTCGTCGAATAGGTTGTGGGCAGCCCAGGCGCCTCTAGTGTCAGTGCTTGTTCGCGCCCGAACGAGCTGCGATGAGTGACAAAACGTCCATCGATGGCATATGCGTTAGCTGAAGCTCTCCGGAATGCCCCAACCGGCTGTCGGTGTTGGGGAACATAGTAATTTCAAAATTTTCCTACGCACACGCAAGATCATGGTGATGCATAGCAACGAGAGGGGAGAGTGTGATCTACGTACCCTTGTAGACCGACAGCGGAAGCATTAGCACAACGCGGTTGATGTAGTTGTACGTCTTCACGGCCCGACCGATCAAGCACCGAAACTACGACACTTCCGAGTTTTAGCACACGTTCAGCTCGATGATGATCCCCGGACTCCGATCCAGCAAAGTGTCGGGGAAGAGTTCCGTCAGCACGACGGCGTGGTGACGATCTTGATGTACTACCGTCGCAGGGCTTCGCCTAAGCACCGCTACAATATTATCGAGGATTATGGTGGAAGGGGGCACCGCACACGGCTAAGAATATGATCACGTGGATCAACTTGTGTGTCTAGGGGTGCCCCCTGCCCCCGTATATAAAGGAGCAAGGGGAGGAGGCCGGCCGGCCTCAATTGGCGCTCCAGGAGGAGTCCTCCTCCTAGTAGGAGTAGGACTCCTACTAGGAGGGGGAAGGAAGTGGGGAGGGAGAAGGAAAGGGGGCGCCCCCCCCCCCTCTCCTAGTCCAATTCGGACCAAGGGGGGGAGGAGGCGCGCGGCCCACCCTGGCTGCCCCTCTCTCTCTCCACTAAGGCCCATATGGCCCATTACTTCTCCCGGTAGGGTTCCGGTAACCCTCCGGCTCTCCGGTTTTCTCCGAAATCACCCGGAACACTTCCGGTGTCCGAATATAGCTGTCCAATATATCAATCTTTATGTCTCGACCATTTCGAGACTCCTCGTTATGTCCGTGATCACATCCGGGACTCCGAACTAACTTCGGTACATCAAAACTCATAAACTCATAATATAACTGTCATCGAAACCTTAAGCGTGCGGACCCTACGGGTTCGAGAACAATGTAGACATGACCGAGACACGTCTCCGGTCAATAACCAATAGCGGAACCTGGATGCTCATATTGGCTCCTACATATTCTACGAAGATCTTTATCGGTCAGACCGCATAACAACATACGTTGTTCCCTTTGTCATCGGTATTTTACTTGCCCGAGATTTGATCGTCGGTATCTCAATACCTAGTTCAATCTCGTTACCGGCAAGTCTCTTTACTCGTTTCATAATACATCATCTCACAACTAACTCGTTAGTTGCAATGCTTGCAAGGCTTATGTGATGTGCATTATCGAGAGGGCCCAGAGATACCTCTCCGACAATCGGAGTGACAAATCCTAATCTCGAAATACGCCAACCCAACATGTACCTTTGGAGACACCTGTAGAGCTCCTTTATAATCACCCAGTTACGTTGTGACGTTTGGTAGCACACAAAGTGTTCCTCCGGCAAACGGGAGTTGCATAATCTCATAGTCATAGGAACATGTATAAGTCATGAAGAAAGCAATAGCCACATACTAAACGATCGGGTGCTAAGCTAATGGAATGGGTCATGTCAATCACATCATTCTCCTAATAATGTGATCCCGTTAATCAAATGACAACACATGTCTATGGTTAGGAAACATAACCATCTTTGATTAATGAGCTAGTCAAGTAGAGGCATACTAGTGACGTTTGGTTTGTCTATGTATTCACACAAGTATTATGTTTCCGGATAATACAATTCTAGCATGAATAATAAACATTTATCATGATATAAGGAAATAAAATAATAACATTATTATTGCCTCTAGGGCATATTTCCTTTAGTCGGATCCTCTTTTGTCCTAACCTAGTTCGATGACACGATCTTTGTCAGCGTCCGGATGGATGGGTGCAACGTCCCGGGCGCGGGGATGGGGACAACTGCTTGTCGAGGTCCGCGTCCGCTCCCTGTGACGCTGCCGCTTCCTTCTCTCGCTGCCTCTGTCGCCGGTCATTCTGTGAGATGTTCTCCGGCTTGCACGATATCGCCGAGGATGGGACGCCGACAGATGACACAGATGCAGCCTCGGTCGCGACGGTTGGGGACAGGGGACGACATCTAGGGTGGCGAGTTGGGACCGACAGCGAGGATGGGGAGCAAGCGTGGCATATGATGAGGGTTCGGGCGTGGGAATTGGTGAAGGGAGGCAGGAGGAGGGCGAAAGGGCGGAGGGTTTGATGGATTTGATGCAATTTGTGATGGGTAGGCCTGTCGGGTCCGACATGGCGGACGCGCCCGGGCTTCCGCATATCCGCCCTACATTTGAGCTGAATATGAGGGGTGTCGGTCAGCCCGGGCGTTTGAGACCCATTTGAGACGTCCGTCTGGGTCACATTTTTTTTGGCCACTCGGTGACCGGGCCGTCTTCTCGGACGTTTGAGGCGCCCGACTATAGGTGCTCTTAGAACCACTCATTTGACGGAATCACACGTTGCCATGCCGGGATTTAAACTTTATGAGGAATTTCTGCATAAGCAAAAAAATTATTAAATTAAAATTTATGCATGCCGTATTTTACACTAGTGCAGAACCGGGTAATAGCACCGGTTCGTAAGGCCCTTTAGTGCCGGTTTGGTAACCGGAGCTAAAGTGTAGGCACTAAAGCCCCCCCTCCCTTTAGTACCGGTTCAGCACGAATCGATGCTAAAGGGCAACCACGTGGCACGAGCCAGCTTCGGGGGCAGGGAGCCCTTTAGTACCGGTTGATGTCACCAACCGGTATTAAAAGATTGGGGGGGTTGGGTTTATGATTTCTTTTTATTTAATTTTGTGTTTTCCATTTAATTCTTTTTCGTTTGCTGGTATTTTATGATACTACATATTGTACACGTTATGCATATATATAAATAGAATTTCTAGTAGCACCGACCATAATATATATATATATCATCGAATGTCTCACAACCACCATTAATTAATTCACACATATATGCACACATGTATATATATATACAATTTCTCCTAATTGGTGCCTTCGAAGCCAGTGGCATTAGCCTAATTGGTGTCTTCGGAGCACGATAATAATTGGAAGTGGTTCATGGGGGTGGTAGCGGGTAATAGTATTCTCCTTTGCGATCAATGACCTGGTCGAGCAAAAATCCCGCTATTTCCTTTTGAATTGCTTGTATGCGCTCCGTTGGTAGGAGCTGCTCCCGCACCTCTTTGAACTGTTAAGAAGGAGATCAATATGCATGTGTATTAGTTGTGTGACTAGATATCGACAATGGTGTAAAAATTGTGAATAGTGTTCTGACAAACGTACCCACTCCTGTCTTTGAGATTTGCTCCTTTCGGACGTCATCATGTGAATGTTCTCGCAAACGTAGTATGCACACAGATTATTCCCCGACGCCTGCTTCAGGGCCTTTACGAGAATAGAATTTGATCAGATAATAATTAATCAAGCATGATAATTAAAGAGATGGCAGCTAGCTAGTACTACTTAATTACTTACCTCGGGTCGATACCATTTCATATCTTGTTTCCATGGGCCTGGAGTGACCCTGATGAACTTTGCCCAAGCCCTGCCCGCCGACAAAGAAAATGAATAAATGGGTTATTAAATAGTTGTTATCAGGAAATGATGAACTAATTAAATAGGCCGAGATATAGTTAATAATGATTGAAATTACCTGTTGACTATCCCCTTCACGATGGTGTAGTCACTTGCTTTCTTAAGTAGTGAGTCTAGTACTTCAATTGCTCCTTCATCAATTTTAATGATTAACAAGATCCAGTAAAATCTGCATGCACACACGTTTGCATGTCTTAATTAAGCGGGCATATGTAAGCAAAAACATGTAGCTAGCTAGTAGGCAAAAACAGAATTTGTAGTACAAGACAGTGTGACTCACTCGAAGTTGTAAGGAAGTAGTATATCTTCATTGTATTTGAGGCGCTTGAAAAACTCTAGCATGCTTTCCTCTACACTTTTTTCGTAATATGGATCTAATTTCCATGTGTATTCATTAATGGTATTTGGGTCAACGAACCCAATGCCATAGCGTCCATCTTTTTTCATTTCATAAATCTTCATCCTGCATAATACCACAGAAAAGAATATAGTGAGGATAATTACAGGTAATGATTGATCAAAATGATCACTACAGCTAGCTTGAGACTTAAATTACAGAAAGAAATCACTTACACACAATAGCAACTGATGATAGATTTGTCGAGTGCGTCTTGATTGTATAACTGAAATAGTTCTGAATACTCAACGGCCAGAGCTTCTAATGGTAGTAATGCTCCTCCTTGACATTCATCATGAGGGACTCTTGATTGGAAAATCTTGGTAATGTCCATGTACCATCGATGCAATTCATACATTCTCGTCGAGAGGTTCTTGACCTCGTCTGGCTCGACCAAAGGTTGGCCCCGAACATATTTCCGTTTTATTTCCTCATCTCTAGTCGGAGACATGGGTTCGATATCGAGGAGTTGTCCAACAGTGATC